CCCCCCCCATTGACATAGGATTGGTAGGTGTCTCAAATTTGAGAAGCGTTGATAGCTCTTTTTCGTTCTCCTTTACAAGATCTAAGGTCAAAAATATGACTTCTCATTTTTTATTCAAAATTAAACCATCCAAACGAAAGTAGAACTCCTTTTAAATATTTCTACCTCACTCAAATCAAACGCTTGATTTCCCTTTCACCTGAGTCTAGTGGGAATGGATGTCTTCATTCTCTATGGCAGTCTACTAGCGATTGGAATTTGTTTTAATGTTTTTCGCTTAAAAGAAACACTGATAATTGTTAGCCCAACCTAGGCGTTTAACCTGCACCGATTGGTAGTGGTCGTCTCCATTTTACCCAGTTTTACTGACTAATAACATAATCAATTCTATGAGGTACCTTGTTCTCTTCATTGTTGTCTGCTTCAAGTTGCCCCGCTCTGTTTGCGATAAAAAAATGCAGTTGCAGAGCCGTACGTGGTCATGCGAGAGGGCTTTATGGATTTGGTGTAGCTCTTTCAGTCATCCTCGAGCTCTCAAAGGGGGGAGGGAAGCACACCTGAACACACTCCGCATTGAAATCCCTGTGTAACGAAGCATAAGGCGATTGGATTCATTTGCGATAAATTGCTCAGAAGTCCCTCCCGATTATCATGAATTCAACTTTTTTTCTGTATAGAACTGGTGGTTTGTTTACAGAATAAATTCTCTCATAATCAGAGAACAGTTTACTACGACTATGATTCGGGTGTCCGTCGTCGATTTTCTCTTTACTGACCAAGAATAAGACTTTTCGTTTTATTACAGATGATGGTCAGCTGAGTTACAAGGAGTTCGTGCAGGTGATGAAAAACCGCCTATTTCGGGGCTTGGACAAACCAATGGACACGGGATTTATACGTTTCCTCAATGCCATCGTATACTGTGTCCAGCATGAAATTCGGCGACGATTGGATTGAGAGAGGGAGTGGATAGGCTGGCATATTAATAATGTGATTTGGATGAATTGGTGAATTCTGTGTCTGAAATATTCAAGATTGAAGAACAGTTGTTCAATCGTGAAGCAGCTTTTCTTGAATTCAGGGGCTGAAAGCTCGAGTTTGTCGTAGCGAAGATCAGGAGTTAGTTTATCCACAAAGTAGTTTCGGTGTCAGATGCAGTAGTACTTTGTTCACTCAGTTTTCTCTGCGACTGGTTATCCTACTGGCGATCACATCGCCTCGGCTTCACCTCCTCTATGCCCAACCGCAGACATTCGGGACAATCGTTGGCCTTCTACAACCTAATGGGACGTCTCCGTCCTGTTTTCAGACTGAACAAAATTGCTATGTCAGTTGAGGTTGCTGAGGTGTTCAAGTGCATTCCCTTAATGAAGTAGACGTGGACGGTTGGTGGGACTAGATTGTGAGTGTCGTAGCATCCCGAGACTTCCTAACCGATATAAGAAATTAGTACCTGTATTCCGAAGACGACAGAGCAAATGGGCCTGGGCATGGCCTAAAGTGATCGCCAAACGTCATATGGTTACATAAAGTATTACGAGTGTCTTCTTGTAGTACTGAAAGCGTTATGCTGACTGGTACGGGAGGTGCACTGAGGGAAGCGCTGGAGAGGCCCTTCGGAAGAAGAGCTGGATGGTATGGAACTGTTAATTTGACTGCCAATAAGGCTAGTTTTTCTCTTTTGGGTGGATTGGCAAGACTCTGCCTCATTTCTTTCAGTCGAAATGCAGGTACTCAGTTAAGCTGGATGCTTCCCACAGCTTGAGGCGCAGGTTCAGGTCGCAAAAATTGCAGTACCAAACTCTAAATTTTCTAATACATTAAGAAAATTTACCTAAATAATGCAAAGTATATGGTGCAAAAGTTTCAACAAGCACAAATGCGAATTATGGGAATTCGTGTGCTATTTTATCGCCATTAACAGGTTCATTCATAAAGAGCAAAAGTTTAATGTTATTTTAAAAGCCATAGCTGCAGGCATTAACGAATCCATAACAAAAACATGTTTTTGTTGCTTGAGCTGCTTATTATCACACCAGTAATCAGTTGTAATAGATAATTATCTTTGTATGCCAGCTGTAGTCGACACCAACCTTATTGGACACAGCCAGTCAACTTTAGCCTACGATGTCAGGCGTCGCGATTTCAGATGGGTCGGTCTCGAAGCTGTGTTACGATTATGTTATTCCCACCGCAATTTCAACTGTTTGTCATCCGTTTGTATGTGCTCGAACTCTTATGATGGTAAATTGCATTTCTTGCTCATCTTGTGCTTCGCAGTTGGGTCATGAGTTTGAACCGCCCACACTCGGAAGGAACATAATTGGGTTACAGCGATATATGTACCCAAATGTTTTTAACTATCGTATGTCCCTTTTCTGTACAATATTGAGCCTACAGTTGGCCACTTGCGAGAAGATGTTGGTCTCCTCTCGATATTCACCGTGGGTCTTCCGGCCTCCATTATTGGTTCGGCTATTAAGTCGTCTGTGTGTGAAACTTATTTATGTGTAAGTTTTACGTAGGTGCGCCTTTATTATAAGTTCTTCGTAGTCTTTCCTACTTATTCTTTGTGAAATGTACTAGGCTCTCCTATTATCTTCCATTCTAAATTATCGGATATTTTAGAAACTTCTCGTTGCAGTTTTACTACCTAGGTATTCTCTTTCTCCTTTTAGGAGCACGTTACAGGCTATATGTACAAAAAATCAATATTTGAGACAGAAAAAGGCTGGGAAGTTTTTGTTCAGGAGGTGCATTCCAGGTTACTTTTTTTCAAGAATCTAGCCCATTTCATACACTAAATCTGTTTTATCTGCTACTGACACTGCTTTCATAATGTCAAATTTATGTTTAATAATACTTACACAGACCGATTTGTTTCATTTCCTGCGATTTTTTTAAAAGTTACAAAATTACTCTCCTCTTTAATGTTAACTATATCTCATAATCTTGATTCGTTTATTAAACACAGGCACGTCCTGTTTGCACACGAATACTGTAAGAGCCTTGCTATTAAGACTTACAAAATCTTTTTTATTCGGCTCTTAGTTTTTTGCATTGTGGCTACGAATTATGCGAAATCCCAGTTACGCGAAACATTTTTATTTGGGAAGGTCATTTTTTGTAAACGTCTGTTGGTAAATTCAGCCAACTAATGAATCGTTAATCTTATTTATCCGCCCTCTTATTACCTTAGACATGCAAATTGACTGCCGGACGCTGTCTTGGCCTCTTGGTCAGCTATCCTTTTCAGGGTGAGTTTGATAAATTATATTTACCTCCAACCTTCATCTCTTCTCTAGTCATCATGATTCGGCAGATCGCCCAGTTGGTCGGAAAGGAAACCATATATAGCAACATTTTTAAGGCCTTTGTGGAGATAAACGTAAACGAAGGTCTACCGGGTCTTTTTGGGTGAGAGTTTATGACTATTTTCATTGTATTGCTGGATTTGAAAGGCTTTTTCTCGAGTTTCCGACTGACTCTTCTTCCTGATAAGTTTTGATAAGTCAGATAGACTTTTTAATCACTTTTTGAGTGAACTTATTTTTCTTATCACGAACTCGCAAATTTACTCCGATTTAAATGCCCCTGCTCATATAAATCATCTGTCGTGTTACCATGGGAAGGCTTTGATATCGCGACTCTTGTGTTTAGGAAACGTTTTCCCACGGATCTTTGCGGAATTCTTCCTCTCTTTGTAGCCTTTATGCTCAGCCTTTTATGGCAAGGCTTTATCAGTTGGCTCCACCATCTCATGTGTAGTTTACCTTCTGTCTCGTCAGTCAGTCCTCGTAGGTAATGTACTACGTTCTGGGCAGGATTTCTCTTTGTTGGTTATCTTTATAGATTACTTTAGAGGGTGATTATTCAAATAAGCGATTTTTATTCCTTTTCTAAATGAACTCTTTCCTTTTTGAATTACCTTTGGTGACTTAACTTTTCTTTTCCACCCGCTCTCATTTGTTTTGTTTTATTATTTTTTTCTGGAAGGTTGTGCCTATTTTGCACACTTCCTTAAAGTGACATCTAGAATACCATCTCCTCTGAAAAGTTCATTCAACTAGCGGAAATCCGGGTCTTTTTGAAGACCTTAGAATGGGTTCATTATAGGAAATATCCGTTGCTTCACTGGGTTTTATCAGTTTTCGTACTTCACAATCATTTTGCTACGAGTTTAAATGGTTTTGAAACTCTTTGTGGGCTGTCTTGATTGCTGTTGCAAATGTATTTGGAGGAGGAATCTTATAGCAACGCAAAATCATTTTTTAGGTCGGCTTTACGTTATTGAGACAAAATAAGCTACTTGTATGCCTCCCTGATGCCGAATAAATGGGGATTGCATTGCTACACCACAATTAAAATACATGGGCATGGTGAAAGAGTGTAGTGTTTTAGCCTTTGTCGAACTGCTGACTTCCAAAATCTGTTATTTTAAATGCCAGAGTAAAATCACCCCTTTGGGAATTTTGAAATTTGCGGTTTCTGCTTTGTGTACTACTTCACCCACTTCTTTTGCTGTCTGAGTTACCTTCTTGGAAGGCGAAATTGGTCTTTCCTCAAATTTGTTTTAAAGATTATTTTGCGATTTAATTTAACTATTTTTTACCTTTTGGAAGCTATATTCTCTGTGCTTCTTTGGGCAAGCCCCAAGCATCGTGAATAATTCCGTTAAATGCACTTATCACATTTCGATCATTTTGAATGAGTTCAGGGGAGGAGATTTCACTGTTCCATCACCTACTTCTCAGGTTAAGCAACTTGTATTTTTTTAATATCCTTCGATCGTCTCCTGAATTTAAACACACAGTTAAATGTTCAAGCATCAAAGTCTTTTCAATCCTGTATCAACTAAAAAGATCGCTGTATGCTCTCTTATCTGGCACTCTTCTACGCCTCATGGTCTCCTATGTGTGGCAGCTTTGAGAGGTAGCGACTTTGCTTTCGTTACCTCATCTTAGACAGGCAGAGAGATGAATGGTATCACCAATTGTATCAGGGTGTCGTGAAGTCTCATTCGTTATCTTTCATATCGTAGGCTTCACGAGTCCGGTCAACGTTGGATCGCTTGATTTGACAATTGTCACAATTAGCTTGCTTCATTTCAAGTATTTAATCTGCATGACCTCAAAGAACTCTCCTTTGGATAGCTTCTGATTTCCTTCTTTTGTTCAATATTTTGGGGCGTTTCTTTCGGAGTCAATTTCTGGTGGTACAACTCCTCAATCAAGTTCCCACAATTCCCAGATATGTGCTTTACTTTCTACGTTTGTCCCATCTTAGATGAAAGGTAGGATAGTTGCGATGATGAAGTTGTAAAACGTAGTTGGACGCCTACCTTGTGGCAGTCACTGAGATTGTTAATCCAGTAAGCTAATTGTTGTGCTTTAGCAGCTTTCAGAAGGACAACAGTCAGAGCGTATGCAGCGTGGAGATAAATACTTCACAAGTTTCGACTTGCATCAAGGCTCACTACCCAGATTCAGTATCGCAGCTACGTGGCAAATGTTCTCTGCAGTTTGTAATGTCTGGTGCTGCATCAGTTTGACAGATAAAGGCTGCGATTCTTTGGCACTAAAAGGACCGGTGGTACATAACCTTAAATCTGTGCCATAATTGTGGGTTGGAGTTACCATTCTTTAGGCTGAATTCTGGCTGCGTGGTAGTAAGTGACTTGCAAGATTGAGCAAAGGACTTTGAACACTATGACGCACTTTCCTTCTATTTACAGTCTTTCACGCATCTCTTCTTTCCACAAGTCTGGGCAGAACTTGGCGTTCTTTTGCACTAAGAGTATTAAAAGTTGCTATTTTTTGGGGTCCTTCGCTCATCCTTAAGATAGTTTCTACCTGTATCCATGAAATTCTATGTAGGCTCAAATGTGTACGCTGAAATGGCATTGCTACACCTCTACTTCTACACTAAGATTCTCTCCTATCCCTCCCCTCCACTTTATTTGCATGTAAGTATTGCAGTGAAGGCTTATTTTCGTCCGAGTCCCAAAAGAGCGTTTGAGTGCTTACATGTAAGTCCACTTATTAACATTTATTAAAGGATGTGTTAAGTGCCTGCAGCATTTCTGCGGAGTATCTCGAGAAGGGTCTAACTTTTGAGTCTTCTCGTGTCATATAGCGGCTTGATCCCACGACTCTTGGGGGAGGTAGTCACGGTCTGGTTGACGGCTGGTATGGCCTATTTGGTGAACAAGTACCTTCTACCTGCGGATACGGATCCATTTGTCAAGGAGCAGACGCCCTACGTTGCTGGTGTGAGTTGTCATCGCTACTTTTGCCTTGGTCTCAACGGTTTATCCCCTTGCATTTCGTCGTTTCCCTCATTTGCTGCAGCCCGATCGATCCATTCTTTTAGGTTCGAGACCCCTAGCGTGTGGAAAGATGGAGTTCTGCTATCACTGGTGCTGATTTCAATTGAATGTTAATGCGTTTGACAGTCAATTTGTAGCAGAATTAAAAAAGATTTACTAATCATGATCATAAGTAAAGCTTTTTGTCGCTTTGCAGATACTGGTGTCGTCGTGCACGCATCGTCTGACGGTTACCTCCACCGTGATGGCTGTCAGTGGTTCTGGGTACATACCAGCAATTTATTTCTTCCCGTCTTTCGTTCCTCTAAATCTTTACTATCCAAATCCGTTTCTAGCTTATCCGTCGCGGTGCCGTTTAAGAACAGTTTGGACTGCTACAATTACCTTTCAACAAGGGTAAGAAGCCTGATCAAATTGGTCACTTTATTTTCTGTTATTAGAATGCCTTCATGCGTGGAGCCTCACTTTTCTTCCGTTATGCATCGGGTGCCTTGTGAAACTGGTGTTTTCTCTCGTCTTGTCGAAGCACTCGTTACGTTAGTTTATAGCCACCTCACATTATTGAGCCTTCTCGTTATGGTGAGGCAACGTTATTGGTCTTTATCGCACTTGATAAATTGTCTAAATAAATGTACTTTATTTACGCAAAGGGAGCTATTTGAAATAGGAAGCAGACCATTTTGGAGGTCTTGAGAGTCTCATAGCTTTTTTGAGTGACTTAGGAACGGTGAAGTGGTCGTGTTTCAGTATGCGAAGATGTCAATTGCAAATGTAGTGTTTTAATATTTATGATTTTTACAAATGATATGAGAGATTCAACAGCCTCCCGTGAATTGGGACGTTAGTTCACTTCTAATATTCCCATAGGTCCATAAAACAAATCTATTAGGAATACGGGATACGAGCAGCGGACTCCGAGTAATTTGGTCGGGTTTCTCTTGTGCTTGGAATTGACTGTCGTCTGAAGCACTTAGTTCATGCCAGCTGAAATCTCGTGGCCCTCTGGGATAGATATTTCATTTGCACCACTGCGTTTATTTGCACAGCACGAGATAGTACCTCCGCCGCTCGTAGTAGTTGAAATTTCTCAGACAAGTCGCACATTCGGGTGCTTCAATTTCATTTTCCATCACCCCACATACTGATTTAACCGAGGTTGCGGATTCTGACACGTGCGAAAAGAATTGCTACCACGGAGGTAGTGCTAACGGGTTAACATTTCCAAGCTTCGCCTATTAGGAGAATGGCTGGTGTACATAACTCAAAGGAGCTTACACCCCGCAGTGTAGAATCACCACTCCCCCGATAAGCGTGACGTGCGAGATGAACATATTAACCCAACCCCAGTCAGGATGGCGCTATTTTTCAAGCAGCCATGTTCTGCGGTGACAACTGGTCAGCAAATGCAATTACAATCACTTGATGAACATAACCCAGTGTTAAATTGTGACATCATTTGGTGTTTCAGCGAACTACCGAAAGTGGATGAAAGTCCGTGTCATCAACTAAACCAACCAAACATACTAGCTCGTCATTTGTAGGCAACAAACATGGTCGACCCGTTGCAAAATTACTTAAATGTACACGGCTTTATTACAGATAGAAGTTAACAAAAATATGCGAATATCCCACAGAAATGCACAAATACACAGATTTCTCAGGAAGAAGCTTTGAGAGCGAACAGAACGTCCGATCTGGAACAGTTTAGTCGTAAAAGCATATTTGTGTCTTTTCGAGACGGCTCCGCAAAAATCAGTCTGTAAGCGTTCAGAGAAGCACACATCGCAAATACATCGGTGTCTGTTGGTTTGGGCACGCCTAAAAGGAGACCGAAGAGCCTGAATTTTTAAGAACGCTCACCGTATATGGATGCTGATGTAGAAAGGATAAAACAGAACAGAGGCACTAACCTTCTAGGTTGCACAGGATGTGGAGCTGCTGCAAACACCGACTCAGTGGAACCTCTTCGGTACCTCGTGCTGCTACTTCAGATACGATAGCTCGTAACAGTAGTCGCTCGTAGTGGGAAACACTTCGCAGAGCAGTTAATCCCAACGATGTGAACATCTCTCGCAGAGCCGCGTTTACATGCTGTATGGTTGTTGTAGCCGTTTGGCCTCCCTCCAGTTGCGCCAACTCCGCCGCACGACGGCAAACATCCAGCGTTCGACGCGCATCACCCGACACAGCAGCCACTTTGCGTGCTGCCAATTCAATTGCTTTTGACTAAAAGAAGGTCTACTTTAATAACCTCGGCAGGGTTAAATTGGAGCTCATATAGCGAGATCTACGTCGCTCACATCAAAAGCAGAGCTAAACTCCGATCCCAGTCGGGCATTGACAATAGTAGCGAGTTGTGCGTGCGAATAAGGAGCAAAAGCTAGCCGACTGGAGCCCAAACGACTAGCCACACGATGATGTAACACACGTTCGGGTAGATCCATGGTATTCGCTACGGCTAGCACGATCAATATACGCCTCCCGCAACGCCTGCAGCCGCCAGCTGAAATCGACGATCTACATGTCCAATCAAAAAGAGTATAGAGGACATCTTGACGACGTGAGCATAGAAGATCCAACTCGTCGAGGAGGAGAACGCAAGCTGGAGCAGTGGGATTACCATGTCGACGTAGTGCTGAGCAGAACTCATCCTCAAGCAGCGACATTGCCTTGTAGGCTGACACCCTCTCGCCCTTCAGTGCCTACAGAAGCAAAAACTGGAAATCTTGTTCTTTAATAGCTTGAAGTCAATCGAAACCATGGTGCTTAGGGGGTGAAAATTGCTGGCTGGGCAGATAATTTGTCGTAAGATATCTCACATCATTCTCATACGCCACTATATGCCTTATGAACGCAGCCCTGGAATAGGAAAAGGCCCGCCTTCCAGATATTGGGTAAGTCGTAGAGACAAGACTATCGTAACTGTCCGTTTACGACATCGATGGTGAAAGCAATAAGTTTTGATCATTATCAAGAGACCCCATATTCCCTGTCTCTTGTAGCATTTTATGGAAGAGTTTATCAAAAAACATTTGTAATACGGAATTTACGCTCTGTAGAAACACCAGTTGTCGCACCAACTCCGCAAAGTTCGTTGATCGGAGGATGCAATGATGATCATCAAAGCGGATGAGGAATCACAGCTACATTCTGATTTTAAGCCCCGAAATTTAAGTAATTAAGACTAGCATATCAACGAAATCCAATGATGCTATGATCGAAGTATATAAGGAAAGACCAGTAAATCGGGGCAACTAACCTCGTAGATTTGAGGATAGATTTGATGCGGCTGGGAGACTTGCATCCCGTTGACGTTAACAAATTTGAAAGGAGGTATGACACCACTGCCATTCTCATCCAAGCATTCAGTCATGCTTCTCATCACAGCCATGACGGTTGCCGTCTTTCCTGTTCCCGGAACGCCCGAGATGTACATGCACCTATGGGGAATGACAGCAAGGAGACTTAAGAACTGAAAAATACACAAATGAGCAAAATTACTCATAAAAGATATTTATACCGGCCAATATCCTCAGTGCCTACCTCATTTCACCATCATTTATCTGTTCAGCTGTGCGTTACTTCACCAATCTAACAAAGTCCTTGTTCAACTATTTCATTATGGCCCATCAACTATCGATTCCTCATTTGATTGCAAAACCAGAGGTGGGTCGCAGAAGCGTCAAAGCAAAAAATAACGTTTCCGTGATACTAAGTCAAGGAAATAAAAAATGTCGAGCCCAATCACGGTTATGCTGTTAAAGTGGGTTGGATTCGATGCAAATGAAAGCTAGTCTTAAAAATGTCGTCGAATGCAAAAGTAGACCATAAAGGCAAAGAATGCCCCAACCAGTTATCTCCTATCATCATCTCACCAAAGTATTAGCAGTTGGCGAAATTGTGAGTCTGACTAATTTGAAAAATCAAATAATAATAATAATAATAAAACTTGCCCTCCAGTATCACTTTGAAGATGTTCAAAGAGAAACTCAAAAATCGAATCGAATTCCCTCTCACGACAAGGAAGAAAGTCTTTGGAGAGATGCGAAGAGTGTAGCCTACAAGTTATCATGAAAGTGAGAAATCCAAATGGAAAGATGGTAGAGCAAAAGGGTAAGTGAATGGGGCAAGTTACTTGGCATTCAAAGTCTCACGGTCGACGGTAGCCGAGAGGACACGACGAGGAACGACAGCTTGATCACCCACAGAAGTCTATGCATCGCAATGGAAAAGGAAAAAAAATAAGTGAGTCGGACATTGTGACGATAAAAAACGACTATATCACTCACCTTTGATAGTATTCTGGTTCTTCTATGTCGTGACCTTGTTCGACGCACCCACTTATCATCAGAAGTGTCTGTAGAAGTTGCGGAAGTTGTGGAGCCCTCGTCAAAAGATATCTCCGGAAGAAATTCTTCAGAAGATGAGTCACTCTCAGAGGCAGAAAGAGATGCCTCAGAGGAATGAAGTGACGAGCTTTTGCGGCGTGACAACGAAGGCGTTGTTAAAAGCACTGCAAGGATTCGTTGAGAATTAGTTATGTAAGGCGTTCTGAAGCTGTCTTCTACTGAAGAAATGAGCCATCAACTGAAACCTTTCCCGTCTTAAGACCTAGAATTGTGGTTGCACTCAACGGTAAATAAAGATGTAGTGCGACCTTCGAGGACCGATGATAAGGTAAACGAAGGTGCTAAAAATTACACGCCACCTGCTCACCCTTCTCGGCATTTCGACGAGTTGTAGATGAAGGCAAAGTCCGCCTCGCCTTAGGACTGGTGGAGAGTTTCTTGAAGCATTCCAAGATTTTCACCATCGCCTCATCCTTGCATGTTCTTCGTGGAGTACGTGAAGTGCTAGATGCGAGAGCGGTAACGGAATCTATCGGATTTCTAACTCTCAATGGACCTTTTCGTGACCCGTTCGATGGTTCTGCTGTGAAAATAGACGAGGTAGTTTTCAAAAGCTGAACCCACCAATTGAAGGACATTTTTCGAGCTGAGTTCACGATTGACTAATAAATACAGGACCATAGATCCAGCATCTACACCCCACTTGTCTACGGCATCCCAGATTTTACACCTGAACTCAATGGCACAAATATGAGGATGCTGCTTACCACTTCATGATAGCTGATTGTGCCAAATCACTTCTAAAATGAGCTCACGAATAAACGAAAGACAAATGAAATCCTATTAGATACACGCACTTGTCCTTAAACAGTCTTTGCAATAAAATTTGTTCTTCTAAACCCTACCTCAAACTAACTGCGTATGACAAATTTTATTTGCTCCAAAAAGTTGTGAGTAACACTACAAAGACTTAAAAGATGTCAATTATTTGACCAGCATCATCGTCATAAATGGCGGGCATTTACATGAAACTCGTGGTTCAAGTAATGCAGCAAGTCAGTCGAGGCTACTCAGAGCTAACCCACAGTGACTGAACAACAGGATTGGGGGGGGGGGGAAAACAGAACATATCTGGCCAGTACCTACTACCTGAAGAGGAACTAGAATCAAAATAATTGCCTCGACCCAAAGGGCATAACCCCTAACATTCGTACCGTACATTACCAAAAACAAAGCCTCACTAACCATGAGGACGGCGATCCGTCAGTCAAAGCTGATGTTAGTGTGCGATTAAAGGATGACGACCCCCGAAAAAATCATTAATAAGAGCGAGCGATTGACACTCTACCCCATTACATAAATACTTGAACCTCTCTGGTGTTGTAAAAAATAAAAATGGATTTACAAACCCGGTGCCTTGAAACGTTGAGTCACCTCTGCTCGGCGAGGTTTAATTCTTCTGGGTCTTGAATTTTCATTTTGATCCTCGATTTTAACATCCGATTTGTCGCATGGAGCCCCACCTCTAGACCCTAGAACACTCGCAGTAAAAACGCGTACCCTTCACGGAGCATAACGATATTGTACAACCTTTAAACGGGCGACCGACGTTCTCCAATAAAATGAAGCCCTGGGTCTTTCAATATTATCATCAAAAGGTGTCGTACCATTGCTTATAGTCAATGTAGCATAATAATTGGTCAGACTAAAGAATTTATTTGGTCAGTTTTTTGCAGCTAGCTTCCAGGACATGCTTGCACTTGTGACCACAAACAAAGTTTGGTGAATTTTTTGTGGATCTGGGCGCGAGTTTGGCGGTGTTGAAGCTGTGGTAGTCAGCCGATCTGCGCCCTAAAATGTGCGGGGTCGTGTGATTAGAACCGCTAGATATGCCGTCTCTACTTCTTTTAATTGTCAATTTATGTAGGAAATAGTATATGGCACTAAAGATGGCCTGACTGCTTTACTATTGCCTAAAAATTATCCCTCTTCACCTGTACCAGCATTTGATTATATTTTACCGTTTTTTCCTCTGTTTCCTTAGGGTTGCCAATTGGCGCGTCCGGGGCGATCAGCTCACGGTTTTTGGCTGTACATTTGTTGCTTACGCTCTCATGCACGCTACTCGCAAGGCTCTGAGCTCTGTCAAACCTCTAATGATTGCAAATCTTGTCGGCCACATGGATAACACCAACATTACTCTCCACCCACAAACGCTATGGTACAATACACATCCTCTGTTTTCAGTCGTTGATGATGCTGCTATTTTCATGGGCACTCTTGACTTTCTATTCCTTCTTTCCTACTCTCTTGGTCTCTACGTAACCGGCTGGCTCGGTGATCTTTTTGATCCGCGAAACGTTCTTACTAGTGGGATGTTTGGTGGAGCTGTTACAACCTTTTTATTTGGAGTTCCACCACAATGGGGCCGATTTTACAATCGATATTGGTATGGGATCTTGTGGTTCGCCAACGGCTTCCTTCAGGCTCCTGGGTGGCCAGCCGGTGTTTCCCTGGTTGCTCACTCCTTTCCGTCTGCTCGTGGTTTAGTTCTTGGTATATGGTCCACCTCAGCCGGGGTCGGCAACATAATTGGTGCTCTTCTCTCTTCTTCTGTCATCGACTATGGTTATGAGTTCGTTTTCCTCACTACCGCATGTCTTCTTGCTGGCACAATTTTTATTGTGTTTGCCGGAGTTCCTGCTGGAATTGTCAAAGCACACAAGTCCGAACAAATTACCGAAAATGGTGGTCATGTTCCTCTGTATCATGTGCTTTGTCTTCCAGAACTAGTATGCTATGCAATGGCTTATGCCGGTCTTAAACTTGTGAACTACTCATTCTTCTTCTGGCTACCATTCTATCTTCACAACAGATTTGACTGGGATGCCGGAGCTGCGTCTGCTCTCTCAGCGTTCTATGACCTCGGTGGATTGTTTGGTGGAATTGTCGGCGGTGGAATTTCGGATCTATCTTGTGTATCGCGAAATTGGGTCAATATAGCATTCCTAATGCTCTGTGTGCCCTGTCTCCTTGTTTATCGCAACACACCCGGCACTTCGTGGGCCTTGAACGGCTTCGTTATGGGATTGACAGGCTTCATGATCGCTGGACCCGCGAATTTGTTATCAGCTGTGGTAGGGACAGATTTGGCAACTTTACCACAGCTTCGAGGAAGGCGAGTTTTATCAACTATGACGGGATTCATTGATGGAACGGGCAGCTTGGGAGCTGCAGTAGGCCAAATTTTGGTGCCTGTTCTGCAGGCCAAGTTGGGTTGGGATTGGGTCTTTTATCTCTTTCTCGTATGTTGCATTCTGACTCTTCTCTTTGTTACTATTCCATTATTTATTCATCGGATTTCAAGTCGATACAATATCGTGGAGGAACTTGCGCCCATTGCTGAGGATGAGTAACGCCATCAAACGACTTGTGTTGCTTAAATCGTGATATTTTTTTTACCAGTGATGATTTTAGAGCTTGACATTCTTTAAAGAAGATAACTTTACTGTTAGCAAAATGTCTTTTTTAGGTTTGTAGGAGGATAATTTTTCATCTGTTAAGTTTGGATGTAGCCTGGTGCTCTGGATTATTCTAGATGAAGGCATTTGGAATGACCTTTATCGTGAACCGCCTTGCGGAGTTGCTTGAAGGCTGCACTGTTGAAAGCAATGATGCAACAATCTAGCGAGGTAGGCATTTTTAGGTGGCTTAGGTAAAGCAGATACGAAGACTGCTCAAAGGTCTATCTACATCTGACAGTCATCGATACCACTCATCTCCGCTCTGCGAAGTCCACATACTCTGTAAGATTCGTTTAGATCGACGTGGTGATATTTCAGTAAGCAGTGAGCCTTTGAAACATTGGTTTTAACCAGAAGATGAAGCAGTGGGCTAGTCAGAGTAACTAATCCGCATCAGTGCGGTGGAAAAAAGCATAATGTTGTTAGGTACGTCCGATCTCTGCTTTCCTATAGGATGACTTGAAGCTTTGGTACTTTCGGAAATTTGCTGATTAATATTCTAATAACGGCATATGGCCTTCCAGAATGGCGATCTGTTTTCATCTGAAAAGCTTGGATGCATTCCTCGTCGCCCCTATTTTCTGATAGTATAACTTGAGCTTTGTCAGAAATACATTTCGCAGAGAATGAAAATGTAATTTACTTTTTACCTACACTCATGCCGTGCACCGGTGAAAGCGATGGCAAAATGCAATCCGAAATGTTTGCCTTGATGTTGTACGCTAGGCATAAGTGATCTTGTCGAGACTACGGGATGATTGCCTAAAACTATCTTGGTGGATTTACTCACTAATTGCACTGGAAGGATTAGCTCATGTTTTGACCTAATGTCAATTGACTGACAGAAAAAAACAATTGATTGCATTTTTTGTGGAAAACTTTCAGAACGGATGGAACTCTCTGTCCTTAATCTGGGTAACCTGGCGCCTTGAGCAAACCTTAGCCGCCAGCACTGCGTCCCAGAACCGGTTAGCAAGAAAGGGACGAGTTCCTGCGAAGCTTTTATCTTTGCATAGTAAACTGGAGAGACCTTGAAGCACTTTCTCCTTTATCTCTCCTTTTATCCCTATAGTCTTCTTTCCCTACTCTAGCCCATTTATCACTTGCCTTCTTCTCACTCCAAGCATCAAATTGAGTCAAATGTGCAAGGCAATCCAAGCGCCTTGAACTTGTTGGCGTAGGTCTCGTGAACCTCATCATTAATTGGATTTAAGTCTTCCAGGTCCGCTAAAATTAACTCCTGAAGTCGTTCGAACACCCGCTCAATACAATTGAAGTAGGTTATATGAATGGCCTGAAGGCTGATTTCAAAGAGTCGACGACTTTCCCCCATAGATGCTTCTAAACTGTCCACTTTTTCGGTCAGTCGACAGATGGTTTCATTGGACTCTAAGAGCATACGCTCAGAATTTTGTAGCTGAGTTTGTAGGCTGAAGAGTGTAGCTCTGGCTTCTGCTTGAAACGACTTTAGCGATGTCAAAATTGCAAATATGACCTGTTCCAAGTCATCAACAATCATCTGTGATTGTTGTTTCAGTTGTAGCTTATTTTGCTGCATCTTCCTCACCGCTAAGTCGGACTTCTTATTTACCTCTTCCGAGCGACATGCTCGAAAAGTGAGCAGACGAGCTATGAGTTGAAGTTTCTCAATTTGTAGCAACAATTGCTCTTCATTCTGTGGAGCTGAATTTTTCGCTGAGACCTTTTTAGCCATAACTATTGTACCTTTGGCCTCCTATTCGCCGCTCTTTGCTTGCTGACGGTCTCAGCAATGACTGTTTTAAATCGGCTTGAAGTCGATTGTTTACCCTCAATGTTTCGCGATCGATTTGTTTCTTTTAACTTCTATTGGTTAACAACGCGCTGCGCTCTAATTCCTCTCCTCGAGATCCGAGTTTGCGAAAGTTTGAGAGCACACTTTTTTGAGTTTATTTTTCATAACACTAGCTATATGTTTAAATTACCTCTAAAAGAGGAAGTAATCCAATTCATGAATCAAGCAATTCATCTCTTAAGGTTTTTTAAACCCTTTTGTTGCTAAATGGGGACCAATACAGTGTGGCTTTAAAGATGTGGCACGAATTGTCAAATCACAAGAACAAAACACTTTCGATCTCCAAGCTTCTACACCGGTGGATGGGACTATTTAAGAAAGGCAGCGCCACATTTAAGGGGGAGGCGTCCGTTCGGTATTGAGTGGTCCTTTTTCCACCTTAACGCTAGTGCCTTATGGGTTGGGTGCAAAGTCCACGATGGTACCGTTAAGAATTAGCAGACGCTTTGGAGCTGCAAAACAAACTGATGTGCAACCATACCATAGTACCAGGGAGCTTCTGCCACACTGTCAATGCAATTTTAAGCTCAGTTCACTTGCCGTCTTCTGATTTTATTTTTGTATTGTCTTAAAGTTAAATAGGAGCATAAAATGTTATAAGCTCATGGAAATTGTGGATCATGTTCTGGCAACTGCTCCAGAAGTCGCAGACTGGTGCTTATTGTGATGGCTTTTGTGACGATCAGGTCGTTTGCGTCGTTTAATTTGAGTCAAATCACTTCCCTGTCTGCTATCTCCGAGGTTTTCGAGGAGTGAGGTGGGATTCTGACCGCTGGAAGGTTCGAGTTCATTTCCCTGTGGCACCTTCATTATCATCTCATTCAACTGAGCTAACCTGAAGGAGAGTTGAAAGAGAAAGAGCTCACAATTTTTTAATGCATAAACCTAGTTGAAAAGTTCTTGCGAATAAGTGAAATCTAGATTGCATGATCTGCAAATACCTGAAGATCAACTCATTATAACCATGACATCTGGCGGAGCCCATGCTTGTAACTCACGCATCACCGTCTGGTGGTTTGGGCAAGTCCTTTTTGAAGCCATCTTTGCCAACCAACCAATAAGAATCCACCTCGCCTTTTCCCCGGAGAAAAACTTTTCCTCGGTGCTCCAGTTTGTAGCCACCAAGTTCATCCAAAATGGCCTTTGCTGGAGAACTCACATGGATCCGAAATGCTTCACAAAAAAAGAAGCCTCTATAGGATTTTACACTAGCAGTCATGCTAGGCCATTCCACTTAAATGGTATTAAATGAGCATCAAGTTGCCACTCTTAACAGTCCCAGTCACAGTGGTTCACCAAAATTCTCAGTTCAATTCCTTTTTAGAACAAAGTGAATAACTGCAGTCCCAAAAAAGACTGAGTTGAACGAAAAAGGAGTTTAATAGTGGAGGGGAGCCAAATTAACGCTTGCTAGTAAGGTGTGGAGGTAAGCAAATCGAGGTTTGGTGTGAATAGTGTCCCTCCGATCGCTTGTACTCAATATTTGTATTCGGCTAGGCACTACACATTTACAGAATTGTAATGAAATTGAGCCAATACTTTTTTGGGGTCGTTGCTCATGCATTTTTTGGAAGTCTTCTCCCTTTCGGGTAGTCATTCAGAGGTTCTGAGACCTCACTGGAAGCCTGATTAAAATACCACGTAATGAGGCCTGTATGTATAAAATTGCTTTCATTGGGATTGTACGCACGCGACCTCACCTGTGCTGGTGGATTCCATCCTCGAAGCTGTGTTGACAGTGTCACCGAAGAGGCAGTAGCGTGGCATTGTTAAACCAATTACACCGGCCACACAGGGACCTGCAAATTCGTGGTGGTCAGCTTTTAGATCTCAACATTAATATGGGTTCGACAATTGACAGCAAAGACTGTGAGCATTTTGCTTCATTTAGTGGCTGATTGATGGGCAGACAAGTAGTGCTAGACGGCATCGTGCTATCCAGCGCTCTTCATCACTGCAGGACCATGCATACCTTGTATGTGTATGTTCCAAGGTAGATAATGCAGGCGTAACTATTGCCTTCGAGGTGTTCTTTCCGCATGACCACGCTAATATTTCCTCTGATGAAAGCTGATGCTGCAGAGTCAGATGATTATGAGGTATTCCAAAGAGGAGCCGGAAGATCACCTACATTATCATTTAAACCAGGAATCGGAACTAATTGTACAGGAGACTTGAGTTTGGGGAGAGAGAGGGAGAGGAGTAGTTGTGCTTCATCCTTCATGCGACTTTCGCGACATTTCTTCAAGTGCCGAGTAGTACACATTTTGGCGTTCGAGGAGGAAGAATAAGATCGAGACTTGACGCAAGCATTCTGTTTCAAGCCATTCAAACACGGCCATTTTCAGATGATGGTGCAAAGGGGAGGGGAAGGGGTGGTGTTCAAGATCAGTATTTTTCAAATCTTATGAGTATTTAAAGCAAAGTTTGCATTAAGTAAAATGGAAACTGGTCAAAATAAATTGCATCCTCACAAGAGGTGTACAAAACGCTATGATGAAGGCGTTGGTGTCAGAAGGGTGCATATCCGCCTCTATGATGTTTGCTGATTCTCTATAAAAACTAGAAAAACTCCAGCTCTGTTGGAGCAAAGGCTGTCCACAGTGATTCCTTGCCAAAATGCAGTTGGGTCACCAAAACAGTGTGGTAAACAAAAACTAAAAGAATATCCACTCTCTTTATAATGATCAATGATTCTTCAAAACCTAACTTAAAACTTTGCTAATGAGGGGAAAAACAAGGAAGGTGAAAGTTCCTCCTTCGACTAGTAAGAATAAAAGTAATTCAAGTGCTTGTAATGAATTCGCTGTGTTTGCAACTTTTGGTCCCAATTACAGACATCTGGCTGGCCACTTGGCCTTCACCTTTAGAGCATATCAGTGGAGTCAATCCCTTCTCTCCGCCTAATGTGCATGAATTCTTAACTAAAGGGGAAGTCGCAAGCCGTCACAACATGCTTAATCATTCTTTACAAAACCAATCAAATGAAATATCTTTGCTGCCTTAGACGCATGAAACCCGTTCGTCCCTAAACGAAATGAGTACACTTTGAAAGCGTTCCAACCCATCGCTTGCTGCTGCATGGAGCATTGTTTTCGTTGCATTACATATTAAAGGGTTCGAGTAAAACTTAGATTACGAAGCACATAAACCAAAAATCCGGCTAGTGTGATGTAAAATGCGCTACAAACGAGTCTTCAAGCAACCAATCGCTGAAGCCCAGAAAAACTACGCACCAATCAGAGCTCAGAGTGACGAAAAGACAACCGCCAAGACAGAGCATCCCTTCATCAACATACCCGAATTGATTCCAAGACGCAGGTAAAGTGGAACTCCCGGCATGTGGGGAATTTGGAAGGACCCACTAATGCTAATAAGTTCCAATGCCATTGTTGCAATTTCACCCGCATGCTTACGCCCATTTCGAATAGGCAAACCAGACGCGACCATGTAGGCGTCACCGATGGTCTCGACCTAGTTATTAAACACTTTTCCTCATAGACTTTTATTAACTCACCTTGTAAACATCAAATGTCTGAATCATATCGTCAAAGGTTGTGTAGAGATCGTTAAGTAAATTGACAATTTGCAGAGGTGATGATTTAGCCGAGATTGTGGTGAATCCGACTATATCACTAAAGGATATGGTCACCTCAGAGAATGCCTCGGGGTCTACAGGCGCACCAGAAAGCAGTGCTTGAGCAACAGATCTGAACAAAGAGGGTAGAAGGAAGCACCACAGTATTCTACATTTCAGTGATTTCAGCAACGCAGGAAAAAGGCATCAAATTAACTTTTCTGACTGTTTGTTTAATCATATTCTGAGAAATCCGCGCGCATCAACCAAGTTCACCTAGAACACCTGTTGGCTAGTCCACATCTTATTTATGTCTAAGGAAGTTGGTCAACTTTTTCCTTCCACGTCCATTAATACTTATGAGCTAAAAAATTGGAAAGATCTTCAATTCGCATCCTACTTGTTTGCAAATGAGCAGACTCACGGAGGAAGCATTTTGGCAATAAGCGTTTCTGTCTTCTGCTTTTCAACTTGCAACTCCTCCGTGCGTTGATTCACCTGGCTCTCCAAATTGGAAGAATACTTCTCCATAATTTTGAGCATATGATCCACGATGTTTGATTTGCTAGAGTACGAAGAAGGTAATCCAAAATGTAATGCATCTTCCTTACCTGCCCTTGGATAGTTGGTTAAGTTGGCCTTCTAACTCCCGAAATGTTGGTCTCAGTTTGGGATTCTCCGACCAGGAGAGCTGCACCATTTTCATATAGGCAGCAGGTACGTCCGCGTCCTTAAACTGAATGAGTGCACCAGACAATCAGGTGCTCGAAAAAGTCGAGGCTTTGTACACATTACAACTTTAGAAAGTGGAAGAAAATGATAACTTGAGTGAGTCACGTGAATAATGGGGTAGCGATTTTGACCCTAGGTTTAAATCGATTGGCTCGCCTCCGAGGATTTCCATTTTGAAATTTTTATGCTCACACTGGGTCTGTAAGTTGGCACAGCATCATCGGGAAACTGGAGTTGTTGTAACGCCGACTCAATGGCCTCGTTATCATTGGAATCCACGCCAAATGGTGGGGCGCAAGTGAAGGTCTCATGCATCACCACACTTGCCGCGTACACATCCGCTTCCTGACTGCCAACTTCGGCAGCCGTGGGATCGCGCAGTAGCTCTGGCGCTAGGTAGAGCTTTTCTAAATATAAAAACTAATAATTGTTGCAAGTTTACAAGTCCTAATAGCAGCGTCATCTAGGCGGAAACGAACAAAAGATGCTTCCCTCCAATGGACGGATGCTTTGATCACCTTGACGGATTATTCA